GGAATCGATGTGTATTCGTAATCATCCTTCACTTGGCTAAAATCTATTAAATTTCAAGCTCAAATCCTCCTTAATACTTCACTCAATATGGTATTTTTTCCCTTCGAACCCTCTCCTGATGTGATAGGCATGTTGAATGCACAAGATCGAACACTTAAAAAGTATCCTTAACATCATTCAAGGTTTTAAACGTCACTCACATAGGAATTAACTTGTACAAGTGTGTTCCCTCCCTCTTAGAGGGTTTTAAACTTTTAAGTAATCAACAATATTTTCCATAGGGATGGGCGTAAGTTAGGTTAGGTCGGTTTTTTTCCAACCCAAACCCAACCCAACATGGTCGGTTTAAACCCAACCCAACCCAACGATTTGGGATTCGGCCCAATTAAAGTTGGATCCGATTTATTTGTTAAGCTTGTATAATTTTTTAGAGTTTGAAATTACATGAAAACATTTGTTTTTCAAACACATATATAAGGGATTCTTTCTAAAAATAATGGATAAATAAGTTTAAAATTTATAAAGCATTTTCTATTTTACAATTTTTTGGAATTCATTCATTTCATCATCATGTCTTTAATTTTTACTTTATCATCAAATAACATTGCAATTGTACATAGTGTTCATGTGGATCGATCTATATAAAGAAAATGAACGTTTATAAATTAAAAGTCGTTCTCTTATCTTTATTATTTTGTCTATTTAATTTTTTTCATCTTAGATATTAGTTTTTTAATTCATCGGGTTATGTTTTAATTCATAACTTGAGACCCAACCAACCCAACCTCAAATTCAATTTTCCAACCCAATTGAACCTGAAAAATCGACCCAAATCGATCAGTTTGGTTTGGGTTGGTTGGGTTGAGCAATTTGGTTGAATTTTGCCCAACCCTAATTTTCAGTATTATAGTTGCTAACCAATTGATGTCCAATGATGTCTTGCCATATAGTACTACCTCATTGGCCTAGTTCATCACGGGGCTAACAAGTGCCCGTAGCTCCTATGGATGTGGGAATTTACTTAGGGAAAATTACATAATTCCAGATGTTTAAAGAGTAGAATTCAAAAATCAGGGACCAACTTTCATAATTCACAAATCAGGTTTCATAACCCTAATTCATCTTCATAATTCACTTTCTTCCCCACCGTCTCTCTCTTGCCTCACCTCCATCTCTCTCCATGGACCAACTGTTGCAGTACACAAGCGACATCGCCACTGCGTTGCAGCACTCCCACATCACCTCCTTCTCTTTCTATGTACCAACAGTTGCAGCACATAAGTGGCATCACCACTACAAGTAACGTCGCAGCGAGGGCTCTCCCTATACAGCGACGATGTGAGCTCCTCAGCGTAGCATTGGGGCGCATCCTAGCCCGATTTTGGGTTTTTTTTTTTAATGTGGCGGATCTGGTGGTGAACTGGTGGTGACTATTGTGGTTAATGGTTGGCGATGGTGGTGAAATAAGAGTTCGAAGCTGCTTTGGAAGTGCAGCATTTGGATTGGGGAGATGGTGATAAATGTGGTGTCGGCAACGAGCTATATGATTGGGCGTGTTTCGTGGTTGTTCTAAATGTGGTTGTGGTCCTGGTGGGTGTAGTGGTTTGTGTTGGCAGTGGATACTGTGGTGAAGTTGTGGGTTGGATATCGTTGGTGTGTTTGGTGGTGGCGGTAGTGTACCTAACGGTAGAGGTGAGCTGGTGCGGTGGATCTAGGTAGCAGTGCGGTTTGGTGAGAATAACAGGTGGTAGTGGTGCGGTATGTTGATGGTGGCAGAGGTGATGGCAGTGGTCCACCAATGCGGTTGATCGACTTGCTATACTTTTACTATTCGATCCCTGTCATTGCTGACGGTTGGGTGGCCTACTTGGCTTAGTGCGGTGGCTAGTGTTGACTTATTTAGTTATGTTTGTTGGTGTTGGTGTTGGTGTTGGCGGTGGTGGTGGTGGTTGTGATGGTGTTGTGGCCGGGGTTATACATGACCAAGTATTGTGGTGGATCGGGATCGAGCGTTTGGCGTCTGTGACATTTGTGACCAACTATTAATCTATGACCTTGATATTTGATTATTTTGTGACTAAAAAAGTAATCTGTGACCACCAAATTTGAAAATGTGTGACTGTGACCTATAATTTTTTTATCTGTGACCTACGAAAATTTTGATTTGTGACCTCGAAAAAATTCGTGATCAATTAATTTGATGACATGTGACCAGTAAATAAATCTGTAACCTGTAGTTGTGAATCTGTGATCATTATTCGTATAATTGCGACTTTATTATCATTATTTAATAAATATCTTTAATTAATTAATCAAAACCTGATTTTTGCATTAATAAAATTTGTAATATGAATTTTGAATTATGCATACTTAAAACCTGATTTGTGAACTCTTCCCATTTACTTAAAACATACCCCACTCTACTGATTGCAGCAGCACAATGGGATAAAATGGAAGCTCGGTGATGGACCTATCTGACAAAATTTGTTCCAACACATTTGTTCAAAAAGCACCATTTATTTATTTATTATTATTATTTTTTATGACGGGAGAACTCGCGGCCGCTATCTTTCGGGTGCGCACTAGGTAAACCCTTGAGCTGATGCAATAGTTTGCAAATCACGCTAGCCAGGTAACCGCACTAGGCAAGTCCAGTGCGACAGGCTCAACCGAGAAAGTGTTGGTAGGAGGAATCGAACTCGTAATCAAAGACCTCCGCTCTCACCTACTCCACCAACTCAGTCACCCCATGAGGGAAAAAAATAAAATTAAATAAAATTAAAAAGCACCATTTATATATGTCGGAACCTGATCTTTGGTTATCGCAGTAAATCCAGCATGACCTATTCATATCAGGAAAAAGAGAAGAAGAAGTGAGAAGCGGAGTCAAAGCCACCATGACCTCTTTGTATCAGGAAAAAGAATAGAAGTAGTGAGGAGTGGAACTAGGATAAAAGAGTGGTGAGGGCAAACTTCACAAAATCTTAATTGTGGGGATAAAATAAAAAACTATTAAAAAAAACTTGAAAATCTTGAAAAATTTTAGTTTAAGGTCTTGGAATTGAAATTTAATGTGAGGGCAGCTGACCCCATTGTCCCCACACAAACTCCGCCCATGAAAGAAGTATTTGACTACTTCATACACGTTTCACTTGGTTCCGAGGATACAGCTTAATTGATAGGACTCCGCTCCTGCAATTGAGTAGGTATGATTACAAGGTGGATGCCTAATTGTACACGCTAGAATGATAGTATCTTGCCCCTAAAACTTTTCCTAAGTACATAATGATGTAGAGGACTGAAACATGTAATTGGAACACTCGACCTATACAAAGATTTGTTGACAAGAACGTAGAGGAAATTTGATGTAGTATCTTTCTTCAACCCTTTAAGCGAAATGCAACTCAACAGTTTATTTGTTCAAAATTATTTTTGAAAAATGAGAAATCAAAACCTGAACTGACCCATTCGATCATGGAAACATGGAAGTGGAAGTCAAGGAAAATTAAAATTAGCCTTTCCCACGTTGTAAGATGAAAAATAAGTGCTTCTATTTTCGTCGTGTAACATTGACACTTCAAGAGACACCAAAAGTGTAGAAAGGGGACAACATCCTCAATTGAAACTTCGAACTGAACCTCACACGTAAGGTTCCACACTTTCACACACACACAAAATAATAATAATAATAATAATAATAATAATAAAGAAAAAAAGCCGCACATTGCACGGCTCGTTGTACTTGTAAATTAAGTTTCATTACCGGGAGAAGTTATCGTATTTCAGAAGATAATTGTTGAAAGTCCGTGAATACCAATGAGGGAGGAGGACTAAGAGTTTCAGGTAAAAGTATTTCTGTTATGTATATTATTTAAGAAAGAATCTTGTCTGTGTTTGATATTTTTGCATTATGAGAAAACAGTTCAGGAGAAAATCAGATAAGCTGACACCACCAGCATTTCCAGAATCAGATTCTTTTAGTCTACTCATTTAAGTTATTCCTCCAAAATATTGCTTCCAGGGTTGCTGCTCTGACTTCTCTTTCTAGCATACTGTATAGACTAGAAGTTCTGGACCATATGAAAAATCATTCATTTTGGAGGCATTATAGGCAACAATCTTGCCAGTAAACGAACGTGTCAGCTTTAAGCAACTCAAGATTTTGTTTCGAGTAATTAAATTTAAATAAATAAATATTCTCCTCTCTAAATGCTTAACATTTTATGCAAGACAGTTCAACAAGATCTCAAAGTTCAATCTTGAAACAACCCATTTACAAAAATTGTGCACGGGTCAAACTTTTGATTAACAATGAATCATCCCGACACAATGTTAGAATTCTAGCTCTTTCAGAGTTATACAATGAAGCCTCGGGCCCACCCGAAAGGAGGCTTTCTTCGCCTTCCACATAAGCTGCACACGAAAGGTCCAAACCCAATCCCAATCCCAATCCCAGGGAACAACATGCACATGAGGAATATGTTAAAAACTAAATTAAACAAACAATAAAATGTATAAATGGCTCCTCTCTAAGAGGTTAAGCTAGATACTTCAACATACAAAACGAGGCTCATTTTCGTGGTATCACAAAGCTAATAAGTATATAGTTTCATGTATGAGTTCAAGAAAATACAAGGTAAATAAAAATAGATACAGAGATATCAGCAGATCCTTGAAACAGAATACAATTTTAATGACAGAAGTAAGAGTAATCTACTCCCATGTTTCTATACATACTACAAGGCAATTTAGGAGGCACGAGATTTCATAAACGAATTCACTTACATGAATGTTTGTTTCTGTTCAGAGCTGATTCAGAAAAAAGTAAAAACGCTTGTTTTATTAATGTATATATCTAAAATAAAGAATAGCACAAAGAGAATTTTATAACAATACTCTTGAAGCGGACTTACTCCAACAACTAAGCTGCGTAACGCATTTGTACATAGCTTTCACGGGCTTGCACAATCTCTACCTCCATAACTGCATTCTTGGGTTGAAACCTGCACGAGTCCTAAGTAGATAAAACTTAATTTTAGCGGAAATATGCACAAGTCTAACATTAGCTGACCCCGGGCTGTACTGGGAAGAAAGTCCAGTCTTTCTGAGGACCTAATTCCTTCTTTGCAACTTCGTCATTAGTCCACCACTCACAGTCAATAGTGGACTTGTCTAAGACTTCTTCCTTTGCATTGTTGAAATTGAAATCCTTGCTAGAACCTAGTGAAATGGTACGATGCCTCCGAACCATGTTGGGAACTTCACCGACAGTTTCCCCATCAGAATATTCTCCACAACGATCTGTGTTCTTTGCCATCAAATCGTTTTTATTTGTAGCATTCATTGCTGTCGCTGGTACAGTTTGCAAGGCAATTTTGTGTGATGGAACTGACTCCTTTACCACACAGGTCGGAATATCTCCACCAATAAGCTCAAATGAGACTCTATAATCAGCTACAACTTCCCCATCTTTTGATTCGTTATCTGAGTTGGCAAGGGATGCCACTTCTGAAATTTGGCTCTCTAGAAGATATCTGTCTTGAAATGGGGGTTCTCCACCATTAGGTGTTACAGTTCCAGAACCTAACCTAGAAAGCCCACCATTTGGTGTCAATGTTCCAGAGCCTAGCCTTGATCCCCAACCGGTTGGAGTCAATGATCCAGAGCCGATTCTTGAACCCCACTTACGATTGGCAAAGTGTTCATATCCAAGAAATTTAGGAGCTTCCCCCTTGCGGAATTCAACAATAGGTAGCTTATCAGGAAAGGGTGAAGAGGTTCCTGAAGTAGAAATTGCTGAACCTGGTGATTTTAGACGACCTCCAGGACTTCCCGGGTATTGATAAGGCTGGAACTCATATTGGGATAATGAGAATTTCATATTGATTCCACTGTTTTTTCTATTACGTGCTAGTGATGATGTCAAAAGCTGAGCAAATGGCACTTCTGGTGAAGAAGGTGTTGTCATTTGCACTGACTCAGGAGGGGGAGTAAAACAAGCAGTTGATGGTTCAGTGGTGACGGCAGAAAAAACCGGTGGTGAAACTAATTGAGTCTCATGAGCATAGGGGCCAACTGTGAAAATTGGTGCTGTCCCACCAGGAGAGTATACATTAACAGAGAGGGCCGTTAGGGAAAGAAAACCTGCAGGTGAGTGGGTGGCAGATGGAGGATCTGATTGGAGAAAAGATGCAGGTGAAGAGGGAGGGGCTATGAAGGGCAATACTATGGTGGCAGAATGGTTTGGATTTTCAGTAAGAGGAGCTTCAACCCCTGGTGGAGTTGGGTCAGGAACAAGAACAGCATGTCCAATTCGTTTCTTGGGTTTGTGTACACCAAAACACCAATACAGACTCCAGCAGCTTCCCCATCGTCTCTTCTGAAGCAAAATAAACATAATAGATGTTATGAATTAGGCCAAATTAACGACTCCTGTAAGACCCAATCAATGAAAAACTAGGAGGTGGAGAGGGATCCATATTTGCATAAAGAGAGAGTATTTTTTTTCAACTCCATGACAAAATGAGAACGACGAGCATTATTTTATAATGTAAACAACTAGCAGACAAGCACACATAGTAGGGACAAATCAAATTGGCTTTAAAAAGTTAATGGGAAGCAAGCTAACTATTAGGTACTTGCAGTCCATTTGTTCAAATAAAGTATCAGGAAGACATCATAAAAAAAAAAAAAAAAAAAAAAAACCACTACAGTAAGGTAAGCAATTAAAGTACTCAAATCTAAGGATGTCCTCCACTAGATTGGAAATAAAAAATGTAACTCCTGGTAAAATTTTTATGATTACTAATTAGAAAGATGACTTTCTAGTTTTGCAAGACAGCTAATTCAGCAGGATGGTGAAACTTTGTTTTCCTAATCCTACATGAATTAAGTTGCTGCTTTTCAATAATACGTCAAGCAAACATGTATTAAGCCAAAGACTATGAATTCAGCATTAGAGCCAAAACTTCATTCCCACTTATTAACATTTTCAAAGTCCACATATTACTTCAATTATGCCGATTAATGATAATGGATAAGTCTACTACTCTCTTTTGTCAAACTAAGACAGAGTTAACCGACGTGCTCTTGAAGTTATTTTCAAGAAGCACCATACCAAAGTAGACAAAGAATTAACATGAATAGCTAAAGAAAAGCTACAACTGGACCATGTCCGCGAGAAGTCCACCTCATTCTGCTACTTCTTCTGGCAATACACAGAGATGAGGTTGTTAATAACTCTATCCCGAACCCAACAGCTCAATACCCTATATTTTCGTTTCCTTCTTGCTTCTTCATTTTCTTACATTAGCACTATCATGACAATATTTTCTTAAGCCTGATTATTTCTTGTCCTTTCTTGCAGTGTGCATAATTTATACTAGCACTAGAATTTGAGTAAGGTTTCTCACGCCAACACCCTTTGACCTTGAAGGCTTTGCCGCTTTTCTCGTCTATAAGAAGCAAAAAGTACAAATTGACGCATCCAGGCCAAAACTGACCAACCAAAAGCTATAGATTATGTTATTTGTTAGAGCTTCCGATCCATGTGCAGATATTTAACGCAAATTCAATTGAATAGAAGTCCATATAGAGTTCCTCCTGAAAATGATTTTCTGTTTGTAATGTCCAAGAAGCCAAGAGCTCATAAATGCTAACCAAGATTTGAAACCACAGCTTATTCTCAATCAAAGGTGAAATCTAAAGGAAAAGAATGGGCTTTGATGATTAAAGTGATGAAGAAGGATTACCCGCATTGACCCAATCTCTCTATGCACTTCAATTGTGGAGGTACAGTACAAGAAAATTCTACAAATACAGTTAACTAAGAAAAAACGTTTGCTCTGAGAAAAATAATTAAAAATAAATAAATAAATCTGTCCAAGCTTAACTATGAATATAAGAAATCATTATAATTCGAAAGTTCATTCTTTCAAATCTCAATTCAAGGTCAAATTTAGCTTGAAAAAATTGAATTTAGTTTACAAAACAGTATCTCTTGAATTTTTATATATCGTCTGGATTGTACCAAAATTCTCCCGGAACATGATGAATTATATTGAAAAATGAAAGCTCCAAACTTTTTTCCCCTCTTCCTCCGATAAAAATAAAAATAGTACAAAACGAAGCTTCAAATTCAACAACCAGAATAAAAAAATCAACAAGCAAACCACATCAATTTCATTTTAACAGTAAAAAAATAAGACTCGCACAAGTCGAGAAAGATCACATCGAGCAACATTTCCACATCCAAAAACAGGTAATAAGCGAAGTAAAATGAAAACCTCTACACACAAACACATCCAACAATAAATCTATATACACCTGTCGTGTAGATGGTTGAACTCTGGATTCAGCAGTAATTATGGCAGTTGCCGCAGCATTTACAGTCTCCACGCTATTATGAACATTACTCATGGTTATTCCTTTTCCACACCAGTAAAAAGGAATATCAAACTCTCCGGCGAATTGACGTCAAATTCCTGCGGTTTGACGTGTGGATTGATGAATTTGTACCTGTAGCTTTCGTCGGAATCAATCAAGAGAGCTACGAAAGATCACATGGCATAGTCGAGGAAGGTGAAACACAAACACAAACCAACCAAGAAACGGTGCCTTTATAATTAATTGAACCCACAAAATTATTTAATTTATTTAGTGCCCCTCTGGCTTTTATTTTATACTCCCATCCACCACCTATATTGTATTTTATTTTATTTTTTTAATTTGAAACACTTTCCAAATAAAATAACCGTTTTTAGGTGACGCAATACTTGTTAGATTAAGGACCCGTTTGATTCCCATTCTTTGACCAAAAAAATGAAAAATATAATCGTTTTCAATCACATTATGCTACCATATTTAATTTTCTATCTTTTGTATTGGTCCCGTAACGACTACATTTTTCATTTTCATTTCTAGAAAAATGAGAATCAAACGGATTCTAAGTTCATGTTTGGTGTAGCTTAAAAAATTGATAAAAATTTAAGTTAAAATTACAAATTTTGTCAATTTTTCAACAATATTTTTAATAAATTTTAATCAAAATCTAATTTTTAGCTATATCAAACATGGACCGATAGTCAAGTGCTGAAACCCTACAATTAGTGTAGGATAGCAAAGCAGTCGGCTTCATTTGTTATTGATAATAAATAAAAAGGGTGCGTTAGTTCTTTTATAAGGTTAGAGGGATTGAAAAGTTATTGTGTGCTATTTACTTCGCAAGCCTTCATTGTTCTATTTTGTAACTTTTCTTCTTTCATTTGTTCACGAGGCTATAAAAGAGAGTAAGTGACTATTATTCAACTTCATTTACCTTATTATTATTATTATTAATAAACAAAAGGGGTGTGTTAACACTTTTACGAGGTTTAGGGATTAAGAAGTTATTGTTTGCTTTCTAATTTGCAAGCCTTCATTGTCCCGTTCTGTAACTTTCCTTCTTTCGTTCATTCACGAGGCTATGATAAAGACAGAGTGAACGACTGATTAGAGGAGTCATTTCAATTGTATGTCATTAAGAAAGGGGATAAGTGAATCATCAATTTTGGTATGCACTTAAATTATCCCTTTTACATATGTACTATTGAGCACAAAATTTGAAACATAGGTTTTTTAAGTATTCATAATTCGGAATCAAATGTTTAGGTCTAGGAACAATCATCTTAATAGTGTCAACGTAATATTAATGTCAAGTTCAAACCAGCAATTCGATCTCGAATGTATGTATAGAGTTTCAAGAGTAGTGTTGCCATGGTACCAATTAGTATATAGTCCCATTTATTTTGCTCTTTCTTTGAGATAGTCTCTCACTAGCTGTTATTTTGTAATTATGTTGGATGGTGGGGTCAAGTAAATGACAAATAAAAAGTGAAAAAACAGAGATTTCAGATTTGTGAAATAATTACATTATGTGATGAGGAATGTGTTTGACGGATAATGTTGGGTTTAAATGACATTATTGACCTCCTGTTCTATATGGATTTTACTTAACGTGCCATTTTGTTACGGCGCAGGATAGAACGGTTCGGGCTATTAATGGCAAACTGACGCCAGGTGTCGGGGCAGTTGCTCACTTAATGTGACGTGCGTTTATGGCCTCATACCGAATTTTACACCCTCTATCACGTGACCTTCGTGATCTTGTTTGGTCTTAGTCAACACGTTATTTATTGGGGATTGTATCTGGACCCAATCGACAAATCGTTAGATCGAATTGAAAATTGTAACATTTTATTGGATTCACAATTTTTTGATGACACATTTAATCGACTTTTATCAAAATTACTAAAAATCTGATTTTAACTCCCACGCATAAATAAGCGAGAATAACCTTTTTTTTTTGTTAGTGCTTGACCAAGTGGCCACAGTCGGCTGCGGCTAAGCAAGCCACCCAACTTTATTTAAATGATGAACCAAAATTAGGAGTCAAGATACACTTCCATTTCAATTTATGTTTAAGATCAAAATTTTAACTACAATTAATATTTATATGATGAATTTATGAACACTGTTCACAGTGGATATCTACAAAATTTAAGCACCATAAGTTACATGAAGAATCACAATGATTAGTATCAAGAAACTAATCTACTGCATCGACGGACTTACACAAATTATACAGTACGACAAGGTCGTCAACATAAAGTGCTATATGGGAGACATCGAGACATAAATTTTCTTGTTGTATCGAGCAAAAGGTTTGAGTCGTGTCAAGCATACTGCTAGACAATAGATCAAGATTAGTTCTACTTCATATCAAAGGGGGTCATGTTAGGTAAAATGCAACAAAATGTTGTGGCAATCTCACGGTGTACACACTTTTAGGTCCATGTATATATTAAAAACAGATATTTAATAGATTTTGATAAAAGTTAATAAAAATATATTGTTGAAAAAGTGTGAATATTATAAAATATGTGATTAAAATTATTAATGAACTTTAATTTAAAATTAAAATCAAATTTTACTCTAGGGCTAAATTTGAAAATTATAAGGGGCATATTCGACTTGGAAAAATACTTTTTATCTTATTATCATTTTTTGTCAAAGGTATGCACGTGGGCAGAAGGATAGGTTTTTGTGCTAGCCTTTTAGCCCTCGTGTGATAGACAATGACATTTCTAAATTCTTCCCCTCATTTTAATACATTTGCACGAGTGCTTCACTTTTCACATGATTCTATTCCACTTTCATAATTATATATATCACTAACACATCTTTTTAAGAATTTGATTGCGTCTAGAACTGTAAAATTGAGTTGAGCTGTTATGAAATTATCAGATTGAATATGCACTATGCTGAAACTCGTTTGATTTGATTTTTGAAAAGTCAAAATGAGTTTTTAAAATTTAAAAATTACTTTTGAATCCGTTTTATAAAAGTGCATTTTTAATTAAAATTTCTTTTAGAGGAGTCTAGCAAGATATGATTCCTCTAAAGGCTCTTCCACAATCAGTCAAAAAGTCGTTTTTCTGGTTTAATGAAATTTTTAAATTTCAATCTTACACTTGTATTTGTAATGAACAAAATAAAAATTTCAAACCCATCCTAAATCACAACATTCCCAATTCTCGTCATTTTTTTTCACGCGCTAATTCAAAACCTCTAGCTTCTACTTCTTCTCTTCTTGTACTACTCTAAAGCAGAAGTAGAAGCTATATGAACCAAGCCCTAAAATTATGTCATTAGACTTGAGAATTTATGGAATTTTTGTCATTAAAAAGTAACAAAATAAAAAAGGGTAAAGATCCCGCAATAAGATCCATCTATACATAGATTGTATTGAATTTCTAGCTTTCCAACTGCATATCAACAAGAATTGAGTTACTTTAGACCTCTATTATTTATTTCATTTTTCCATTTGCATAGAATGGTTTCACAGAAACAATATAAAACACTCACATTAGAGTGGATTTCATATGAATGAAATATTGCAAAAGAAAAAAAAAATCACCCCCACCTTTTGTGTGTTTTCTGGAGGAGTTCACTTTGTACATAACAGGATTGTTTAAATCAGATAATCTTATTTTTCTTCTATTTTTATATTCATTTGTACAAAAACTTGCATGTAATGAAATCGCACAACCTTTATCCCATGGAATGAATTGTTCTTAATTAAACAACAAGAAAAAAAAATAGAAGGTGTTTACATTCTATTAATTGTTAATGCTATGAAGAAAAATATAACATTCCTTCCCCTTTTCACACTACGTGCAAAGGGTAAAAAGTGAAAGTGATTCCTTTTAGTCGATCTCACCTTTTTGTGACTTTCTACATAGTTTTCATTAAGCTTTCTACTAATCACCATTACCTTTTATGTAACCTTTTCGTGTGTGAATCATTAAGTAGGTAATTGACTGAAATTCAATCAAAATTCTTCAATAATTCAGACCTTTTCGATCAATCCCTTTATGAAACACGAGGAAGAAAAAAGGGGGCCAAATTCAGAAACCTACATTTCTTCAATGGGTCCCACAAAAATGTGGGCCCCTTTGGATATTTTACAAAACCACATAATGTGCTTAGTATGGGGGGTGGGCCCTACAAGACAAAGGCTTAACCAACATACCACATGTGACATGTACAAGTGTGTGGTGGTTGAAATGTAATTAAAATTTAGATAATATAATTTCAAGATACATTTATTAGCAACCTTAGGGAAGGACAAAAGTTATCGAAAGGATAGGGACGAATCAGAATCAAGCTTTTAGTTTTCTAGAGATAACAAAACATGAAGTAACCTATAATTGATTCAAAAGTAAAAAAAAAAATTACAAACTCTTTAACAAGTATAAATTAGTAATTTACTTCCAAAGTTATCAGTAAGCCACTTATAATCTACAATTTTCCAAAGAGAGCAAATTCCGAGTCATCAAAGTTACCCAATATATGGTTTTAGTTAAATTTCAGGTGTGTTCGTCGGAGTCTAGTCAATAGACACCTAGGGTTTGTGGTGGTAGAGTAGGAGGTAGTGGTGGTATAGGATAGATGTGCGGCTTTGAAGAAGAAAATGCTTTTGTAATTTTTTTTCATTTATTAATTTTTTTTATCATGTACAGAACACGCGTCTATTTAACAAAACAAATGGATGGCAGGTGACGGAAAGGGATTTTTGTGCAAAAAATGTTGATTTGAGTGTGCAAATACTAAAATTATCACAAAGAAAGTAAACGATAGAGATATTTTGTACCCATTACATTAATTTCAATTCAGGATTAGGCTGAGGCATGTCAAGTCCTATGGTTACAAATTAAACCCAACAAAGCAGACGAGTCTGTGGATTCAAATGTAAATATAACAAAGAAAATTGAAAAAATAGCACTATAAGATGGAAGTTAATGATAGGTAACACTTCTAAATAGATATCTTATTGTCATTACTCGTATAAACCTCAAGGGTACCTTTGGCGTCTGTTATGTACAATGTGTATTTTCTTTTTCTTTTTTTTTTTTCTTTTTTTAAGATTTGAATCAAGAATCACAACTTTTCATCATAATAAAATATTAATTTGATATATTTTTCATTATAATATTACAAAAAATAGCATAATATTCCTTGATCATTGATATTTAACTATACATCACACATAGTTCATATAAAAACATATATT